AAGGAGATGGACTGACACCGTGGCTGCAATGATAGGGTCAGGTATTGCAAGGATTGTGAGGTTGGCATAAGACTGGGCAGTGTTTTGTTCTGTTGTACAAAGGGTCACTATGAGTTGGGGCTGACTCAACAGCACCGAACAACAACAACATTTTATAGGTTATATGAATACTAACAACAGAATCTACCACTCAACTCTCAGTTTGTCATGTTACTGTGATGCAGGAAGATATGCCACCAGTATTTCAACTACCAGCAAGTTTTAAGCACAGTTTCCAGGCTAAAACAAAACAGGAAGAAGGATGTGGCCAAATCCACTTCTGGGGAAAAAAAAAAAAAAACCTGTCCACTGAATACCTTGTGAATAACAGGGAAACACTGTCTGATACAGTGCCAGCAGATGAGCTCCTCAGGTTGGAAGGCACTCAAAATATGACTGGGGAAGAGCTGTCTCCTCAAAGTGGAGTCCATCTTAATGACTTGGATAGAGTAAAACTTTCTGGACCTTCATTTGCTGATGTGGCATGACTCAAAATGAGAAGCAACAGCTGTAAACATCCATCAGTAATCAGAATGCAGAATGTATGGAGTATGAATCTAGAAAAATTGGAAGTTGTCAAAAATAAATGGAACACAGAAAGATCAATATCCTAGGCTTTATTCAGCTGAAATGGATTGGTATTGGTCATTTTGAATCACTCAATCATATGGTCTATTATGAGGGGAATGACAAAGAGGAATGGTATTGCACTCATTGTCAAATAAACCTTTCAAGATCTACCCTAAAGCACAATGATGTCAGTGATAGAATAGTATCCATATATCTAAAAGGAAAACAACTTATTATGACTATTATTCAAATTTATGTGCCAACTATTAAAGCCAAAGATGAAGAAATTGAAGATTTTTACCAACTCTGCAGTCTGAAACTGACCAAACATTCAATCAAGATGTAGTAATAATTGCTGGTGATTGGAATGTGAAAGTTGGAAACAAAGAAGAAGCATGAGGAGTTGGAAAATATGGCCTTGGTTACAGAAATTATGCCACAGATGGCACAATAGAATTTTGCAAGACAGATGACTTATTTACTGAAAATACCTTTGTTAAACA